GCCAGAGCCAGCTGAGTGGGGGCAGTGGGTAATGGAATGGGGATAAAGAAGGTCGGGAAGGTAGTCAGGTGCAAGGATGTGAAGAGATTTGGAGACATGTGAGAGGATCTTGAAATCATGGCCGTTTGTGGGACAAATTGGCTGTTGCATTCACCTACAAAGTACACAATTATTGCACTTTACAGTATATCCTTTGAAGCGCTTTGAGATGTCCTCCTGACATGAAAGGCGCTATATCAAATGTAAGGATTATTATTAGATAATTACTGTTTAAATCACTCTGTAGAGGTCATTTCTAAATGGTTTTCAGTGATGGGTCAGCCAAATAACTACTTTTTGCAAGAGGTTGATATTTATTATTATTATTATAGTGCATATTATAGTGAATGTAAATATTTTAAAAGAGGAAGGGGACAATTCCATCAAATGAGGCACATTGGCTTATTCATGGACAACGTTGGGTGCAATATGCCTGGCACAAGTATTGAAATTATCTAAATAAAAACTAGGATTTAGAAAGTGGGAAAGTGCAGCATCTGCTGGCTAGCACATCTACCACAGCTGCAAGGCTGGCAGTGATGCATGCCATAATCCCGGAACAGGCTTTTCCTACAAGTGAGCCCAATTTAATATGTCTCAACGTGGAGGCATCGCCCCTTTAAATATGTGCACGTCTCCAATTGCATAGCTAAAGAACTGCTTCAGCAAAGGCTTTTATTCCAGATGAAGAGCATAAAGACTTCACCTGGTGCCACTCCATATGGTCCAGCTGAGACTAGCAACGCAGCCGAGTGAACACTCCAACCAGCCTCCCCTTATTCTGCGTCATTGGACAGCCTAGTCAGTTCAGCGGTTTTCATAACAAAAACTTGCATTTATATAGCGCCCTTCACACGGGGAAGCATCCCGGAGCATTTTTCATAAGAACTGGCAAATATTCAGGGAAGATTTACAACTGTGCCTTTTTTGAAAGACTTCTCATTCCTTGACTCACCTTTAAATGAGGCCTGCCAGCCCATCAGCACGCCCACCACCACCCCACCGCCATCCTCAGCTAGATTGTCCAGCTCCCTACCCTCCAGCAGATCGACTTCAACCTCTTTGTCCTTATTTTCAAATACCTCCATGACACTGCCCCACCCTTTCTCTATGATCTCCTGTATTTCTGTGAGCTTTCTGCCTCATTCCCCCAATCACCGGAATTCTCTTCTGAACCACCCCCTCACCCAAGCACCCTCACAGCTCGGATTCCAACTCGGCCTTGGTAAAGTCCTTTGAGATGTTTCCCCTATGTGAAAGGCACTGTATAAATTATTGTTGTTGTTTTGCACATACCCTGAGCCTGAACAAAGTTCACCTCATATGGAGCTCCTGTGCTGTTGAAAAGTTATCATAATGGTTGAGTAACATGGTGACCTGATGGTAAATGCACAGAACAGGGTGGATACAGCAGACACACTTGAAGCGGATAGTCCTGGATCATCTGGATTTACAGCTGGGCTGGGTAACTAGGAGAAACTAAAGTCTGATTTGTTTGCTAGAATCATGGTTCTAATGACTTGGCTCACAGAGAAACATCTATAAGCACAACTAATATTTTATTAGCTCATCTATGTTAAGAAATGATCAAAAATTAGTTTCAACTTTCTCTTTGACTGAATAACCTTGCTTTCCTTGAACCCCCCCAACCACCTCAGTTTCTCTGCATGCCTAAGGAGGTTAGATTGTCAATCAGCTCTGTTTCAGAATACCTGCAATACAGAGAAACCTGTCAGTATTATCCCTGCATGTGTGCACGCGCTCTCTCGTTTGCTTTTCATGCAGGCATGCAAAACACATTGAACAGATATTCCTATCAAGATGAGATGACAGTCAGAAACTTAAGGTTTGAATGCAAACACTTTGGTGATTTAGCTGAGCAAGTACATTTGGGGTCCCATTTGTGGATAACTCCACTGATAACTCCACCCTGGCTTAACTTGTCACTATCACTCAAGTCATCACTGCTGTTAATATCCTGGCCACATTTATTTATGTATTTATCATATGCCTAAAACGCCACTCCGGATAACTCGTCCAAAGTGACAAACATTTAGTTATTTATTATTTATTTTTTATGATTAGTGTCCTCAAATAACCTTGGAAACCATTAACTGGACCTGTTAATGGTCAGCCTGGCTGCACTCGTGCCTCTTGAGTCAGAAGGTTGTGGGTTCATGCCTCATGTAAGAAATCTGAAGTCATTGACTAGAGTAAAATTTCAATGTCATACTGGGGTAGTCGTGTATTGTCGGAGGGTCTGTCCTTCAGATGAGATGTTAAACCAAGATCCCCTCTGCCTATTGAGGTTGACATAAGAAAAATCCCATGGCACTATTTGAAAAGAGAAGGGATTTTTTCCCTGTGTCTTGGCCAACAATCCCCCAAATGAAATTCGTCATTCACTTCATAGCTACTTGTGGGACATTGGCTGCAAGTTGACTGCCACTTTCAGTCACAACACTTTACAATAAATGCTGTGAAGCATTTTGAGACGTCCACCTAACCTGAAAGGATATCAAATACAAGGATAATTATTAATATTTTGGTGTCATTGTTTTAATATTTTACAGAACATGCCTTATAAACTCTCGAATGATTCAGAGTAACAGACCATTAAAAAATGAGGCACTGCCACCAGGGTTAATAAATATCTTGAATATGTGGGTAAGCTAGCACAGTGTGGTACCCTCTCTTTTCATTAGTGACATATGAACCTTTAAGTATACTTTAAATGAGAATTGCGTACGGTTCTAGGTGAAGAAATAAACATTAAAAGAGGTGGACCTAAAAGGACAGCAACACATTGTACATTTTATAGAACCACTCTTTATAAGAAGTGAAGAATACTGCAGCAGTCACATAACATTAGCATGCATTCATGAGCTGATTAAGGTATTTATAGTTTTACCAAAACATCGACTAATACATTCTTCTCATGGTCTAACATTTTTTTCACTGAACACATATTAATTGTTTGAAACCACAGTTGCTAGGTGAGTAAGCTTGTCTGTGGCTGTAATCGTGTAGGAGTCCTGTAGCTCAGTGGATACAGCACTCGTCTTGCAAGCGAGAAACTTGGGTTTGATTCCCGGCAGGGCAAAAACTTGGGTAAGTTTCCTTATTTCACATGCCTGATAATAATCCCTCAAGAAAAAAAACAAAAACAAATTGGTCACTTCAATCCATGACTATTTCTGGGACAATGCTGTGCGCAATTGGCTGCTGGGTTTTTCCCACAAATATACAGTCAATTCACTTTTCAGTATATTCTGTGAAGCGCTTTGAGACGTCAAGAAGATGTGAAAAGTGCTATATCAAATGCAAGGATTATTATATTATTATAGATTTCCGCTTATCGCTAAGTGTTCAATTAGCGGACAGTCTGAATGAAGTGTTATTAACGTTTTGTCTAGGTGTTTCTAAGAAAGGAAAGAAAAAGAGTTACATGTGCTCATCAACTAACTTTCTTTATGCCAAAAAAGCCTCTGCAAGTGAAGATGATGTGGTTTGATGCATGTTATCAGCCACTGGTTAATGCCTTTTGTTTTTCCTCTATTCAAGGTGCTGGCTCATGCCTGGGTACACCTCCAACGGCTGCTGATCACCCTCTTATCCAAATGGCCACGTATCCCATTTGAAGCCACATAATGAGTGTCAACAAGCTATACTATTGTGTTAGTGTTCGGAATGGCAAGCGCAAGGGATAGCTGGTTAAACTCCAACAGGACACCTACGCACACTCTGGGGCCACCAAGCCTTGAGCTTTTGCCAAACTGCACCTAAACTCTCTGGGATTAGGTGAGCACTGTGCCTCCTTCCAGGGAGAGAGTGCAAGTCCCATTCCAAATACAGTTACATTTCCATAATATGAGGCACTCTGGTTTGGATACTCTTAAACATGGTAATATCATTCTGTGTGTGTCAAACCCGTGACTGAACAGAAATAGTTCTAACATGTTTGAACACAGATTAGTAGACATGAAACTTTTACCATTACTTCCCTGACTTTGTCATTCCTTCATCATTCTGCCATCTTTCGTTCATTTCTCAAATTATGTCTTATTGTTAGAGTTGTCACCTCTGTGAGAAACCCTTCACATGTACTCCTGACTCTCTTACCTGTCTTACTTTAATAGTTCTGATTATCTGCCAAGGTTCTGGCCACTTTATTACCTTAACTCCTGCTATACTTTATTGCTTAATTAACTTAAATCATGTACTTTTCACTATAATGTATACTTTACTTCACTTGATCACTAGTAAATATGAGTTTTATGTTTTCCAACTATTTGTTTTCTAACCTTTCACTTTTCTATGGACCTACGATCAGGTTTGCTTTCTGTGCTTAGGAAAACGGACACAAGAGGAGACCTTTCACCCTTTAATACCTCTAATATCAGAGCATCTATTTACCTCTCTTTTAACCATCTTTTGCCTACAAAATGCATAGTCACTACAACTAACAGTATATCCTGGGAAGTGTTTTGAAATTTCCTCTGGACATGAAAGGTTTTATATCAAATGTAAGGATTATGTTCTGGTTTTGCTAATTCCTGCTTTGCTCTCACAAATGATGGCTGTTTCATATTTTCTCATCTCCCATTGTGGGTTCAAGCCCCAAGTCGAGACATTGAGTCTCTGACTGACTGTCCAATGCAATGTTGGAGGAGAACTGCATTGTTAGAGATGCTGACCTTCAGATGAGAAGTTAAACCGAGGTTCCATCTGTCCATTCAGGTGCAAGAGATTCCACGGTGGTCCTCGAAAGGAGAAGAGAGTTTCTCTCAGTATCCTTGCCAACAATCTCCAAGATTAAATTGGTCATTCACTTCACGGCTGTTTGTGGGACATTGCTATACATAAATTGGCTGCCACGTTCACCTACAAAAATACAAGCATTATAGTTCACAGTGAATCCTGTGAACAAGTTTGAGATGTTTTGATGACGTGATAGGCACTGTAACAAATAAAAATATTATTATTATTTACACATGTCTTAGGGCTGATAAATTGGAACTTGACTCATCCCGGGACTCTGATAAATATATCTGAAACTTCTGATAAATAATCATCAATCTATCACCAAAAGGACTTTGTGAGTGTTCAAGATTCCCAAGCTGCAATGTTTACTGTTACAAAAGACTTTGGACTGTCTAGCAAAATACCAGTAGTCAAATTGCTCTGTTTTTGTTTCAGCTTTGGCTTTTAACATGAACAATATAAGCATGTTACGCCAGGATGGCGATTATTCATGAAACACAACTGTATACATTCCGAGGATTAAGGAACAAGATTTTCCTGCTATTCAGTGTAAGTCTGATCCTTCGTCAGTATGGAGGAGCATGTAACAAAATCCCTGGTAGCCTAAATGAAGGCTTTACCTCTATCTGTTATGTTCTTACTTATTCATATGTTGGCTATGAATTAAAACCATGAATTTTACAATAGTTTGAAGCTGACTCTCACACCAACGTTTGAATTAACAAAAAAAATTCGACATTAAATCCTCAACAAAATTCTCTAGGTTACAATCTCATATCCATTTCTCTGAGTGTAAAGTGAAACAATTTTGCAGCTATCAGCATTAATGCCGAAAGGCTGGGTGTGGTTGAATGCAAGACAAGCAGTTTTATAGCTGGTTAAAAATGTATCCAAACCTCAATAGATATAATGCTGAGTAGGCATGTAGGTGTTGACACAGATTATTCAGACGAAAGACACAGGCAGTATTATGGCATATACGCTCACCACTACATACTCCATCCCAGTGGTTTGAGTCATCACAAGGTGAACAGCACGTCTTGTTTCATTTATACAAAGCCCTCCCTGAGCTGCTGATTCGGTTCTAGCTAGTGGTCGATTGATACCACAAGACAATAGGTCTCAATATTGCCACTGGTAGTTAGGTAACTTCAACTCGAAACACTAATTATGCATTTATATTGAAAAACTGCTACAGGAAGCAAAGCTGTAATAATGAACACAGCTTGCGGCATATTGTGGGCTTTTTTTTAGCAACACAATCACAATTGTTAAACAGTTGTTGTTGATTCACAATATTGATAATGATAATAGTAATAATAATAATAATCCTTCCATTTGATACAGTGCCTGATCATGTCTTTGAGACGTCACAAAGCGCTTCACAGAATATACTGTAAAGTGAATTGATTGTATACTTTTTGGGTGAAATACGGCAAACAATTGCACACTGCAGTTTCCCTACTTGATTCAATTTGATGATGGGGGTGGGGGGAGGGGAATCATCGCCCAGGTCTGTGGATTTAAAACCACTTTGTTGGTACCTATAGAGAACAGATGGATGGTTCAGTGATCAAATGGTTCAGGCACTGATCTCAATTCCGACATCTGTGAAGTCAGTGTCCAAGTGGAGGTTTAGAGTCTGGCTGTTGCTTATCCAGCATTCACTATTTACTAAACATTTTACGACACCTGCATTTGAAACTGTTGTATATGCAATGACATCAATACACATATGAGAATCGCTCAGTACAGCGCAGCTTATAAGAGGTGTCAATGTTCTGCAAATCATCAGTTACGCTGCCTAATTAAACTATTAAAAAAGGCAGAGCTCCTTGGGTTCCTTAGTTTTTATTATTTCTTAATTGGATTCCTTAATAAGGAATGTGATTTACACAAAATGGACACTCCTTCCTGTAAGTTACCAGAAATAAGTCACAGAAAATCCACTCCCAACACAATTTATATCTGGAGCAACAGCTTAAATTATATAGCATCTTCACGCGGGGCAATATCTTGGAGAGCTTAACAGTGGTGGAGCCTGACACCAAGCCGGGGGAGGTGACCATAGGCACAGTCAAAGGTCTTGAGGTGTGATGTGAAGAACGGCAAGGAAGAGGCAAGGCAGACGGATTGATTGACAAATACATTATTAGTTTGATCTCCAATTTAGGACAAGTCTGTCCACAACTGAGTTAACCACAGTTAATGCATACTTTTCAGTGCTGTACAAAGAGGCAAGACTACTCACAATTTTTATTTAATTCTCCCCTCACTCATTGTACAGTTTGCGAGTCCATTTTAAAGGGCTATTGTAACTCCTGTAAATCCAGGAAAGCTTTGTGTCTCATTGCAAAAACATATCATTGTATTCCCTTCTACACAACATAACTGTGATGCAGCACTGAGGGAAATGATGTTCCTGTGGGCTTCCCCTCCCCCGCCAATCTCAACCCATAACAATTCCCTTGAATCTATATGCAAATTTTTGAGAGGTGTAAAGAAAAGACACGGATTAGCCTGTAATCACTGGACAAAGTTCATTTGTATGCAAGCCTGACAGTTCCAATAAAATGTAGAATTAATGTCAGGATGCAGCTTCAGATGTAGCTGTAGCAATTGTATGATGCTCCTGCCCTCATTTCCAATGCTGCACACATTATGAATAATAACCTTCTTATGAATCATCTGACTGTTCAGTGATTATCAAACATGATTTCAGTTTATTGTGTGTGCAGACTTAAATGGGACTATATTGCGTTATCTGGTTCTATGTAAATTTTGATATTTCCAAGGTTTTTTTCTCTCGGGTCAAAATTATTTGCATTTATCAGGATTTCACTTAATTGCTTGGATTTGCAATCCTAAAGTTTGTAAATCTCCTAGATTCAGTTTTCAATGGGGATAAGATCCTTTCCTCATAAATACCCTGAAGATCTATGCAGCTTACTTCCCTCGTCTTATACAGTGAGTGTCTACTCATGTTATGTACAGCCTGTCTAGTCTGCAATAGTTATGATGTATTGCAAGGCATCAGTGTATTCAGGAGCGCTATCATTGCTTTTCATAAGCAGATAGATCATTGTTTTTTTTTGGATGGTCCCGATGGATAAAATCTTTATATAACTAATATCCTAATATTTCGAGCTAATTCAATGAAGTAAAATGTCTATCTTAATTGGTTGGCAGCTAAAAGCAGCTTGAAAGACATATATATATGTATATATGAGCATTTTAGTTGTTGTGCAAAAAATAATCCCTTCATGATTTTTTAAAATTTAGGCCCGTTGAAATCCAGCTCGTTTGTCTGTAAGACCATTTTCTCTTAAAATTTAAGAATTATGGAAAATGATTACATATTCTTCAGTTCTTGAATTCTTACAAAATTCTTGTTTTTGTTATAGATCTCAAAAAGATTGGCTGCCAAATTACCATCTTCACTGTCAAAATTCCTTTGTTGGAATTCTTTAACTTTTTCTATAAAAGCTGGCACCCTTGCTCAGTTAGTAACACTCTTTGTAGCCTCCGGGACAGAAAGTTGTGAGTTCAAGCTCCACATCGGGACTTTGAGCTCATAGTCTAGAGGCTAGACTAATATAGGGCTGGGGGTATGCTGCATCGTCAGAGGTGCCGTACTTCAGATGATATATTAAACTTAGGTCCCGTCTGCTCTTCAGGTGGATGTTAAAGATCCCATGGCACTATTCGAAAAGAGAAGGAAGTTTCTCCTGGCCAACAATTACCCCAAATAAAATTGATCATTCACTTCATAGCTTTTTGTGGGACATTGTTGTACACTAATCTGCTGCCACATGGGTCTGTTAAATATAGTCACTGCATTGTGAAGTGAATTCTTGAAGCGTTTTGAAATGTCCTCCCACATGAAATGTAAAATACATCAAATGTAAGCATTCTGATTGGCAATTGACCAAAACCTTCCCTTAGTTTTGTTGGAGTCAGGACACAAGTCATATTATTTAACCAAATCTAAATAATTCTTTAAGCACACAATAGATCCATTGAGCACCATATTTAATTAAACCAAGTGACTATTTGTGTCTTCTAAAATATTAATATTTTTTGATCCCCAATTGAGGTGAAGGGCAACTTAATGCAATAATACACCATTATTCAGTATTGTACAATGCAACGAGAAGACAGATTGATGGTATATGGCTTAATGCATCTGGAGTTAGACCAGTACATACTTGTTCATTGTAGAACATTTGCCTTATGAGCTTATGAACATTTGTTGACAGCTACAGTAACCTTATTCCACACCCTGGTTCATGCATTAGCTCTGGGATTTCGGAGATATTCATTAAAACTACAAACATCTATTTGCATAAAGCCTTTTTCAGGGGATCTTAACTACTGCTTTTAGTGTTCTTGCGATCCAGGATGTCTTTATAGATCGACATAAACATTCCTCAAAAAAGTATGATCTATAATAATTTAGGAACTAATAATAACTACTGTATCTGTAATAACTATCTTATTCTTTTTACTGTTGCCCGTTCTTTCATCTATTCCAGTGTGTTGTTCTGATGCATTGAGCAGGACCAACTGAATGATTCAAACCATTTATTATAACAGCACCACAACAACACAAGACTTTCTTTGAGATCAAAATCTTCTTTAAAGTTTTGTTCTTTTTCTGTGTGAGTGAAGAAAAAATGTTCAGCATTTACTAGACATTAAGTCATTAAAACTGTAAGGAGGTTCCTATATGTAATGCCTTTTGTTCCAGTTGCTGCAACAAATCCTTGAATTAACTGTGCCTATGATTTGGAAGAGGTTTCATTATACCAGAATTATTCATGATGAAAACAACAACAAGATTACATTTGTATAGCGCCTTTCACGTCAGGAGTATGTCCCAAGGCGCTGGACAGTGTGCAGCATTTCAGACATCAGAGTAGCAAAGCAGAGTTCAGTTTGAGACATCTAAATAAAATACAGTAAAAAGGGGCATGTAACAAAATATAGTGATCAATATGTGACCTAAAATAAATAAAATAAAATTGATATTGTGATTCAATGGGATTGAAAACCTGATGGTCCACAAAAGGATTTGCTGGTAGGGAATCCTATCGGTGGCCCGCAGCACGTTAATCACAGCTGACTCAAGGAATCCTCGCTCCAAAGTGCCCTAACCTGACTGTGATATCAGCCACACATATCCAACAGGATTCCCAGTGAGAGACTCCAAATCACTATTAGTGATTCCAGTTGTGATCGACTACAGTGCAAATAGGAGGTGAAATACAAAGGGGAGTCTCAAAATTCCACCTTGTCTCCCACTCACATTTTTACAACTTAGACCAAGCAGCTTGCACTTTTTGGCTGATCTTGTAGCCATATTCACCCACAAAATATTCGGTCACTCCACTTTACAATATATCCTATTATATTACTAGATTATTATAGTATATTATTATTATTATCCTGTGAAGTTCTTTGAGACTTCCTGATGTGAAAGGTGAGAATCTTCATCATCATATGCCTGCCTTATGATTAGCCTCCCGACCC